GCCTCCAGTCCTGCTATGCCATCACCCTTAGTTATCCTTAGGTCCATCAACAAAGACCTTTCTACATTTCTGTTTCCTTTCCTTTGACTCAGTGGTTAGCACTGCTGCTCACAGCGCCAGGGACCCGGGTTCAATTCCACCCTTGGGCGACTGTCTGTGTGGAGTTTGGATGTTCTACCCGTGTCTGTGTGGGTTTCCTCCGGGTGCTCCGGTTTCCTCCCACAGTCCAAAGATGTGCATGCTAAGTGGATTGGCCATGCTAAATTACCCATAGTGTCTAGGGATGTACAGGTTGGGTGGATTAGCCATGGGAAATGCAGGGTTACAGGGATAGGGAGGTAGGTCTGAGTAGATGCTACTTGGAAGGTCGGTGTGGACTCAGTGGGCTGAATAGCCTGCTTCCATTCTGTAGCGATTCTATGATTTGTGGCCCTTCAAAGCTTCCATGCTTTTGTTTTAAAGGCCCTTGTTCCCATCAAGACACTTAAGCCATTACAGAAGAAATAGGCAGCACAGAAAGTAGGGTCACTACTGAGGGGTCTTTGACTCATTTTGACTGTCTACGTAAGCAACAGAGAAATCTTCCAGGTTTTCGGCACCAACACACAGACGTAACAAGCAGGCTGGATGGAATTGCTAACCTTTTCCTGTCTAACATTTTTGTGTTGGCGTATATCTAGTCTCACATGGACCCCCATTCCTGCTCTTCCCTTGATTCCCAGCTCTGCAATCCACTTCTTATTCATCAACGCGAGCAATGCCAAGGCACTTGAAGAATAAGTTGGTCACTGGCACCTCACCACACTGTGACCCAAACCAGAGTCAGAGTGCCCATTATCACTGCTTCTCCCTCTGCTGGTACCAACACCCTACTGCCTCACTGACCACTCTATCTGTGCAATTGGCCATCCCTCTGAACTGACCACCCCCAGACACACCAGGAATCCCTCACATCCTCCTAAACTCCCCCCATGCCCCCATCCATGCCTCCCTGGCTGTACTGCTGACCACCACACTCCTCACTGGCCCACTCCAGTGGTCTCACTGAACTACCCTCCACTCCAACACCCTGACTGTGCCTCAGGTAACCTAACCTCACTGTCACCCACCCCCTTACACCCCCAAACCACACCCCCCACAACCCGATACAGCTGTGTCATTGGTTTCTCCTTTTGCCACGCCCCACCATCCCATTGCATGTCTTACTGGCCATTTCTTTGTGACACCCCTGGCCATCCCACCAGCTCCCCTCCTTGTCCTCCCATAACCACAAACTCCAAAGCAATGTGCTAAAGGCGTGTAGTTAAAATGGACAAGGATTAAAGGGTTAAAAGGCATAAGACTCAACTGGACTGTTCTGTGCAACAGGCATTTCCCATTACTGCGTTAGTTAGCAAGTCTACACTTTGTAATGTGGGATTGTGCCACTGCATCGCCAGAGATTCAATAATACAACAGCAGGGGCCTCCAATGTTGCGAATCAGTCACTCAGCAAATTTACTCACCGGAAGTGACATCACAGGTCCTGTGACTGCACGGGATACAACTGTGCCCTTGTAGTTGCAATAGCAACAAACTCAGCCTTCATTCGTATATAACCTTTCATGTGATAGATTTTCCAGACCATATCAGGGAGAGGAACAGACAAGCTCTGTTGGAAGATTTAGGAGCTATCGTGGAAACATTTGCTTGAAAGCTTTTGAAAATGTAACTTTGAGATGAAAAGTGTTGAAGAACCACAAGGGTCTGGGATAACCAAGGAGTTTGAAAAATGGATGGACAGCATGGACAAAGTCAAAGTCTCAGGGAAAATGGGCTATCAGTTATTGTTTGCAAGACGAGGAGATGGATTTTAAATGTAATGTACTTGGTGTAGAAAACAATGCAGTCCAACTTGTCCATGCTGACCAGATATCCTAACTTAATCTTGTCCCATTTGCCAGCATTTGGCCCATATCCCTCTAAACCCTTCCTATTCATATACCCATCCAGATGCCTTTTAAATGTCGTAATTGTACCCTCCTCCACCACTTCTTCTGGCAGTTCATTCCACACACACACCACCCTCTGCGTGAAAAAGTTGCCCCTTAGGTCCCTTTTACGTCTTTTCCCTGTCGCCTTAAACCTGTGCCCTCCAGTTTTGGACTTCCCCATCCTTGGAAAAAGACCTTGGCTATTCACCCTATCCATGCCCCTCATGATTTTATAAATCGCGATAAGGTTATGCCTCTGCCTTCAATGCTCCAGGGAAAATAGCCGCAGCCTATTCAGCCTCTCCCTATAGCTCAAACCCTCCAACACTGGCAACATCCTTGTAAATCTTTTCTGAACCTTTTCCAGGTTAACAGCATCTCTCATATATCACTTGCCTCCCAAATTTCAGCGTACGCAAACTTCATCCCTGAGCAGTAAGCCACCCACTGCTTCACCCCTTGTCCTCTCCATCATCCAAAACACCGAATTCAAAAATCCTAGTCTACTAATCACCTCCTGACTTTTGCTCTAACTCCACGGCTTCCACCAGTTTCACATGCCAATAGACAGCGTCTACTCCTCAAAGGATTCTGATCTCCTTTGCATCCATTTCCAGCTTGTGGTAATGTCTTTACATAACACATTGCCATACACTGGAACTCTTCCCTAGGGCACATCTGCTCTGCTATCCCTCTGCATCCATCTGGACAACATCCCAAAATTAGGAGCAGAAATATCTCATTCATACCTCTCATGGCCCATGATGGAACACTTAACAAGAAAGACTACAAAGCTGAAGACTTTTTCTTAATTTCTTCATTTTTCTGCCTTTATATTCTAGTTTTGGTTTATTTTTCTGTGTTTTAACACGGCGACGGAGAGCGAAGACACTGTACAACACTTTTTTTCCTGCATTTTGTAACAAAATACATATGACAATAAATAAATAAATAAAACTTGCTCTGTCATTTGGTTAGATTATGTCTGATCTTCAAAAGTCTTCTCCAAACCCGAGTCTCTGAACCATGCCTGGAGCATTAATTTTCATCTTGGTACACCAGGGATTTAGCAATGCTGAAACTGCTTTGTAAATGAACAATTTCATTGCTGCACATAAAAAGAAAACAAGCAACTGGAAAGTCAAAAGAAATCTTCATTTGTTTTTCATTTAGGGATAAAAAAGGGTGCCCAATTTATTCCTCAGGAATTCAGAGACAGGCACATTCAAAACCAACACTGGCTGGATGAAAAACAAGATACATCCCTTCCACGCTAAACAATGTGAATCGACCATTGCTTCACCCTCAACAAGGAAAACAGCCGATGCTGGAAATCAGAAACAAAATAAACCAGAAATTGCTGGAGAAACTCAGCAGGTCTTTCAATATCTCTGGACAGAAAGCAGAGTTAAAGTTTCCAGTCCAGTGACCTTTCTTCAAAACACAATATTTCTTGACTCTAGCTTGCGTTTCTTATGGCACAGTGACAGTGCCCCTACCTCTGGGCCAGGAGGCTTGGATGCAAGACCCAGCTGCATTCAGAATGTCTGAACTGGCTGAACATAACTGGTGTCCTGTATAACCAAGTGACCAGACTGCTGCATCTCAGAGTCTGACCTGTTGATGCATAGTGCAATCCCAAATCTCCCAGAGGCCCAACACAGGCAGACGGTCTCCTCCAGAGTGACAGAATTTGGATGCGGTTTAAACCAATTTGGTTTCACCAGTACAGCAAATGTTTAAAACAGAACATTGGTGTGCCAAGCAATCCTGATAATAAACAGGCAACCCCAGAGGCACTACATGTCAGGACAAATTCTTGCTGGATTTTGTTCTTTCTGCATTGAGAGTTTGGGGAGTGGGGGGCGAGTTCTGTCCACAGCAGGTTGTGTTCTAGGGTCTGCAGTTGAAGTCAGGCATGCGGCAGTAATCCCCTCTCCCCCGCCCTGTTCCAGGAGGGTTAACCGAGAGTAAAAGACCGCATGCAACTACCGCAGTGCAATTCTAGTCTGTAGCCACAGCGTGGCTCTACCTCCTTTCCCTATCTCCCACCGTCTCACCTGTCAGCCCCCACCAACATCTCCCCTTTAAAAAAAACAGAAAGCAACCCAAACCAGGCACCCAGCTGGGGCAAAGGAGCCGCCTGCCTTGTTACTGAGCACCGCGCCCACTGCTCAGAGACACGAAAGGTGGGGGACGAGTGTGTGTTTGTGTGTAATAGAGATACAGGAGGCAACATCAACCACACTAACCCTCCCCCCCCCCACCCCACCACCCCCCAGTAAACAGCATCTTCTATTTATTTATGCTCTGTAGAAATCTCCAAGCAGACCCTCCAAGACTGCAGAATGGGCCATTATAACATGCTGCACTGCAGCCCTTTAGTAACACAGGGCCAGCCAAATGCGGCAAGGCGAACAGAATCAAATTGTGTGTGTGTGTGTGTGTGTGAGAGGGAGGGGGGGGGGGGGGGGGGGTGTGTGGTTTTTTTTTTTTTTTTCACGCCCCCCCCCCCCCCCAACCCCTTTCTGTGCACCTCTTCCTTCCCCAGCGACTTGCCTCTGAAGCCCTACCTGATGTTCCAGTTCAAGGCAATCCTGTGTGCAGTCACTTGAACTTAGATGCTCTCTCTAACTGGACTTCTCTCGCCTGCTCTGACCCGCAATGGTCCGGTTAAAAGAGACGCCGACTGGGCTAGACTGAATACATTAACCCACCTGACAGGGCTGTTGTTGACAAATATGCCCCATCTGGCCATTAATTCAAAAACAAAGCAAACAAAAAAATCCACGCCAGCACAAATGAACTTCAACAATAGCAGAAAGATATTTTGCACCACAATGTTTTTTTTTTGCACAGCTGCAATGAACAGTTTTGCTGAATCGAAATGCAACATTTTTTTTAAAAAAAAATGCACAAAACCTCACAGATGAAATGTCATTGCTCAGAAATGAAAAGTTCTGCAAGTTTGGGTTTCTAACTCCCAGTGAAATGTGCGGCGACTAAATGCGAGTTGTTTCATTTTACCTGCGGGTCATCCCGGTTCTGCAGTCTCTCCTTGCCGTTCGCCGTGGTGATTTGTACCCCGGGTCCCCTCTCGGTCGCCAGCGGGCTCTCCCTGACTGTGTCGCCGGGAGCCTCGGCGTTGTCCCGGGACCCCTGAGTTTTACTGGCGCCGCTGGTGCTCCGGGAACTCCGGCGGCCAACGCTCAGTGCATCGAAATCCAAAGTCTTGCTCTCGTACGCTCCTTCCACCGAGCAGAACATGCCCCCGTATTTCTGCCGGGGGATCTGAGCTGCCGTGCCCGGCCGGGCCAGATAAACCGGCAAGTCATCCTCCTTATCCCAGATCCTCCTACCCTCAGCCATAGGGAATCCGCCTGGGCTCCAAGCAAAGGTGGAAGGGGCTGCAAAAGCTTGTTTTTTTTTCCCTGCTGGGGGTGGGTGAGAGGAGAAAGAGAGAGAGGGGGGTGGAGGAGGTTTTAGGAGGAGAGGCAGATCAGAAAGACTGAAATGGGGGCGTTGATGGGGAGTCAGAAAAACTGAGCCTGCGAGGGGCAGACTGCTTCTGAAATCCCCTGACACGGAAGTGATAAGGAGGCGTGAGCCACAGACTGAGTGGATTTTAAAGTGCAGTTAGCTCCACCGTGTTGTATTTCTCTCTCTCTCTCTCTCGTTTGCTTGTGGTAATTCACAGGCGCCGCTCCATCAGTTCGAGTGAGGACAGTCTCCAGAGGCTCTCTTTTGTGACAGTCGAGGATGGGATATGGGAGTGAGTGGAGAGCGACAGAGAGAGAGAGAGAGAGAGAGCCCTGAAATCACAGCTCACTACAAGCACATTTCTCAAAGGTTACGTTTTATTTGAACTCTTTTTTTAGAGACGCCCTCAAAGCTCACAAATTTACGCACTTTAGCACTACCCATTCCTTAAAGGGGTCAGGAGAAGCGGAACAGATTGTCTGAGTCCCCCCCATCCTGTCTTCTGGGAGCAGGCTTGACAATCCAATTGACTTTTTGAGTGAACTTGCTGACTCAGACAAGACAATGCAGGTCTCTCTGTCTGTGTGTGTCGTTCTAACAGCCTCTCTCTCTTTCTGTCGTTCTAACAGCCTCTATATCTCTTTCTCCTCACAGCCTCTATCTCTCTCTCTCTCTGCGTGTGTGTCTTTCTAACAGCCTCTCCCTCTCTCTGTCGTTCTGCAAGTCTCTATCTCTCTCTTCCTCAGTTGCAATCTCGGTTAATCGTGATATGTGCGTGTCTGAATGGCATGCACCTAGACTGATGAGTGGAAAGCACACACTGGTTGGAGGGAATGCTGATAATGGGTGAACAGTGTGGCTATGACAGGGAGCTGGGGTAAGAGCTGGCGGGTAGGTGGGGGTGAAGGGGAACAACTGAGGGGTGTTTACTCTGGAAGAGGACGATTGTCCCGCACCACAACGTACCTACATGATTCTCTACTTCTGCACTGAAAGTTTAAGACTAGGCTATGAAGACCTGAATCAAGAAGCTGAAGAGTTCCCAGATTAACTTCTTCGCGAATATTGTTGCAAATCAGAGTGCAAATCTCGAAGATTAAGAGTTCCAAAAAAAAATTTAACTGCAACGGTTGGCAGCCAGTGATTTGGTCTTTTTTTTCCAATTGAAACTGCAGTGAGGTCCTCAACAGTGAGATTATCTTCAATATAGGCATCGATTTTAGTTTAAAATTCTTACTTTATAAAACAAAAAGGTGTTATTTTAAACAATGGAAGCGAGCTCTTTCTTTTTACCAATGGGTTTCAACCGGAAAATAGGAAGGCTACGTCCCTTGAGCCCCATCCCGTTGTTATTGCCCCACTTGTGTAAGTCAGAGCAACCGGAGCACGGTAAGATCCCATGCCTCACCCCGCAGTTTTGCTCAGGGGCCTGGGCAGCGACGGGGGAACCGGGGACAGACGCCACTGCCGTTTCCCCGGGCTCTCCGCTGGGTCCCGGGGCGGGTCGAGCGTAAGATGCAGCGCTAAGGGAACTGTCCTTTCAGCACCCTCCCTGCAGCGCCTGGTTCGCCGAGCATGTCACCCCCAGCGCAAATGTGAGGAAGCACAAAAAAACCCCTCTACTGCCAAGCTCCTGATCACCAGCCTGCAAACCCCCTCCCCACCACCCCCCTGCCAAATCTCCCTCCCTTCTGCACTGCTGTTTATTCCCTCATTCTGCATTGGAAACAGGAACTGAGTATCATTTTGGTTTGGCCATAAGTCTTGGACTCTTTCATTGATTATTCCACAAGGAGCAAGACAAGTTCCTATCACTGTAGTCATGCCTTCCATTTAAAATACATTTGGACCAATACATGTCGCAGCTGTACAGGACATTGTTTCAACCACTTTTGGAATCCTGGTCTCCCTGCTACGGGAAAAATGTTCTCAAACTTGAAAGGGTTCAGAAAAAGATTTACAATGATTTCTGAAGAAAGGTCCAGACTCGAAACGTCAGCTTTCCTGCTCCTCTGATGCTGCTTGGCCTGCTGTGTTCATCCAGCTCTACACCCTGTTATCTTACAAGGATGTGGCCAGGTTTGGAGGCTTTGAGCTCTAGGGAGAGGCTGAATAGGCTGGGGCTATTTTCCCTGGAGCATCGGAGGCTGAAGGGTGACCTTACAGAGTTTTGTAAAATCATGAGGGGCATGGGTAGGGTGAACAGTCAAGGTCTTTTCCCCAGGGTAGGGGAGTCCAAAACTTGAGGGCATAGGTTTTAGGTGAAAGGAGAAAGATTTAAAAGGGACATAAGGGGCAACATTTTCATGCAAAGGGTGGTGCGTGTATGGAATGAACTGCCAGAGGAAGTGGTGGAGGCTGGTACAATTACAACATTTAAAAGGCATCTGGATGTGTATACAAAGAGGAAGGGTTTAGAGGGATATGGACCAAATACTGGGTCTGTTTCCATGCTGTACATCTCCATGACTCTATGACACTACATGAATAGGAGACGATTAGAGGGATATGAGCCAAATGTAGGAAAATGGGACTAGTTCAGTTTAGGATACCTGGTCGGCATGGACAAATTGGACCGAAAGGTCTGTTTCCATGCTGCATTACCCTATTACGATACTGGTTGGATTTGTGCTACATGTGAAACATGTCCTGGATTCACAACAGATATTTTACAAATGTTAGAGTTTAATAGGTGTTTTGTCATATTAACACCTTGATCTAACCATCGCTTTCAGGCCGAAGCAACTAATTTCACCTCCGCTAAGTCCAAAATCAGTATCCTATAAAGAGCTCTGTCGGAAACTAAAATACTGTGATGTTGGAAAGCTGAAACAAGCACAAAGTGCTGGAGAAACTCAGCAGGTCTGGTAGTGTCTTTGGAGAAAGTTAGAGAACTTCACTCTCCACAGAGAACAAAGTTAAAGTTTCCAGAACTCCTAAAGTGAAGTTCTCCATTTCTCTTCACAGATGTTGCCAGAACTGTTCAGTTTCTCCAACATTGTCTCTGTTTGTTTCAATCAGAAACAATATCGCTGCTCCTGGCCATATGTTCTAGCTTCTATGTATGTTTTGGAAATTGCCGAATACATCATAAGACTGACACATATCTTCTTTTAAAACCACTAATTCTTTCAGATGCAACGGACATTAAATGAAAAAGAATCCATTTGAATTTAAAAATGATCGCCGACAGCTGCTTCAGCCTCAGTAAGTCAGTATTATCTGCTTTGTGGTCAACCTTGCTACTGACACTGCAGTAAGGGCTGGCTCATATCCTAAAAGAGTCACCACATTACCAAGCGGCACAGGATCACAGTGCTGCTTTTTGGAAAAGCTTCCCAATGAGGTCTACTCTCCTGCCTTTTCCCACAGCCTTACTTATTTTTTTCTTTTCAAATAATTGTCCAATTGTCTTTTGAAAGTTACTCCTGAACTTTCAGACATTCCGTTCCTGATGACAATAAGTTGCTGCTTGAAAATGTTCTCCTCATTTCTCTTCTAGCCTTTTGTCAGTTATTTTAAGCCTTTGTTTACTGCTCCACTTGCCCGTGGAAATAGTTCCTTCCTATTCACTGTAAACTGCCAATAATTTATAATAGCTTCGCTCAATCTCCTATTAGTTTTCCCTGCTCTAAGGAAAACAATTTTGCTTCTGCTATTCGTTTTTCCCCGGGTATTCCTTGTTCCTATTCTAGCAGAGAATTATCTTAAATTGGACAGTGACCTTTATGAGATTGCAAATCCTTGGTTGTTAATTTAAGGCTGTGCCTTGTAGTTCTGTCAATGCAATCTCCTGCATGTCAAATAGACAAGATGGTTGGTAAGTGTGCTCCCAGTGCTGTTGTAGCAGCAAGTACCATGAAAGTATGAAGGACTTCCTTTGTATTTAGAGCCCATGACATTGAGGATTCTTCTGCAGGTGACTCTGGAGTTGTAGCACACTGCAGTTGGCCATTGTTGCACTGTAAACTTTTCCAAACTCCTTATGAGATCCCTTTCAATGTCTTTTGAACTTTAGAAATGATTCTTAAACAATTCTGCTCAGGCAGAAATCTCATTTTAGAGTAGATTTGTAGCTCGGGTTGTGGATGTTGTGGTTGGTTGGCTCGCCGAGCTGGTTCGTTGTTCCACAGGCGTTTCATTACCCTGCTGGGT